TGTGAAGAGAGCAGCCTTATTTAGAAGAGAGGACCAGTGACGGGAAGAAGGGGAAGTCTGCACTGATGTTCCCGTGGCTACCTGCGCAGTCTCATTTCATTTTGCTTCTCATAGATTCCCAGGTGGTTTCTTGTAAAGGAGATCTTATCAGTTACCTCTCTCAATTAACAGCTGCAAATGTGAGATGGCACAGCTCTCCTATGAGGGAGAGTATTGTTTCATTTCTATTATTTTTATACTGAATGAAAGTTTTCCACCGGTAGACTTGCTGAATGAGTAGATAACTGATAGTTAGATAGTGGCATGAAGTAGCATGCCCCAAGAGGACATCAGGTTGCTTTGTCCAGAGCTAGTCGATTGATCAGCCGACAGATAGATAATAGAGAGAGATGATAGAGATGAATGGATGGATGGATGGAAGGGTGGACAGATAGATAAATCGACAGGAGTTTTCTTGGCCCCAAAGAAATGAGGATGATAGAGAGAAATGTGATTTCTAGGCAGTGTTAGATATCGCTGAAAAATCTGTTTCTCTGAGAAAAATGAAAGACCATTAGCATAACTCACAATCTTTGAACGTTACATCAAAGTTAATCAGTGAGTCCACGTTCAGTGAATGGTGTGTCCCAGCCTTGTGTGCAAAAAAAGAGTTATTTAAGGGAGTTAATAAGAATGCATACAAGAAAGTATGGTGTCAAAAAGACCCTGTCTCCACTATCAGTAAAAGGAAGGGGCATAAGCAGGGTGTACGATGGAGCACAGAGGGAAGAAGAGGAGACATAAATTAATAACTTAATTATTTGTTGAATATGGCTTCATACAGAATTTGTTCACAAACTCTAGACTTATGTGAAGGACTAGAAAGAGAACATTAAATATGTCCAGATAACCCTGAAGCTTTATTTGCAACCAGTTTGCTCTATTTTCTCTTAGATTCCAGTTGACTTGAAATGTGGACATTAATCCTCATGTCCTCAGAAGTTGGGTATTTTCTTTTTTAGGAAGCAGTGAATTTCAGTTGGCCAAATGGAAGTCATTTTCCACATTTATAAAGCACATAGTCTGAAGCGTCTGGGGTAATTTTTATTTTTTGTACTACTATAGAAACTTCTAGAAGACAAGATTTGGTTAATATAGGAGAGGAAAGTGACAGTGTGGAGTTTCAGAAACCACTGGAACAACATGTCTCAGAGTTTTATCTCTTTCTGTTGGTCTAAAATGGTGGCCAAGAGTTTCCGTTAATATGCCTCCCCTGGATAATCCCCTGGAAAACTCTAGAAATAAACCAGCTAGTGTATTCAAATTGTAACTGAGAGTTTTTAGAAACAAAACATTCTTGGAAAGTTCCAGGAAGTTCTTAGGTCCATCCAGGGGCCCATCTATTGCGATACTGAGCCCCTGTCTTCTGTCTTCCTTAGTGGATCAGTAGATTGTTTTCACATCTCAGCACATCACCTAGACCAGACAATGAGATGTCACACCTCTTCTCTCTGGGAAGAGCTCAGAGAGTTCTCCTTGCCAGAAATACCTTCTTTCACATCCCAACTGTCATCATTGCCTTTCCTTAGGAGCATTTAGTGAAGGACCTCCAGTGTTTGACTCTCAGCCCAAGGACACAGGATTTTGCCCAAAAGGCAGCCCACCTGTCCTGTCTTTCAGGAATTCTATAATGGATGCGTTCATTAAGACTTACCAGCAGGAGCAGGAAGGGCTCACCACACCCTAAAATGTGATCATTTTTTGAAGTTGTTCCCTAAATAAGGCCCAAGGAGTATGTGATGTAGTAGCTTCTCAATTTGTAAATATTCTTGTTTGTTCTTTGCTTTTTCCGTGGGTGAAATTTCTAAAGGGCCAGGATTGATTTTGCAGAAAATGCTCCATCCAGAACGTCTGGAAAATTACAGGATTCTGTTAATCCTATATACAGGTTATTTGAAAGTTACCTTAGATATCATGCATCGATTAAGAATTTGTATGGTTCTTGAATCCTCTGAAATGTATTGCACACTTAATCTCTAGTGGGTAATTGTCATTTTCTTTGGGGTTCAATAAGCACTTTGGGATTCTATAGAGATTCTGGGGTCATAATTAGGAAAGACACGTATAGGAATGTTTCTGCAAAGAATTCTGTTTATGCAAGCTTCCAAAATTTTTTGAACTTAATGCAAAGGGAAGATGGGATGGATTACCCATGAAAGAAGACAAAAACTTTAAATTAGTGTAAGGGCTCTAGAAAATATCGATATGGGGGAAAAATCAATTACCACATCATTTTCAAAAGGTTCATTTGTAGCTGGTCAGTAGTTTCCATGTTATTAACTTGCATTGGCAGAAAATTTTAAAAAGGGCATAAATCTACTTTTCCTATATATATAGTTTTCAAATAATTTTATGCCTGCCCAAACTATATATCCTCCAAATTTTAAAATTAAAAAAAAAATACCAACCTGTTTGATTTACAGTTAGTTTTCAATGATATAAGTTGTTGCATCAAATGTTAATCAAATGATAATAATGTTTTTGTATATTTATTTCAAGGCTGGAAATTGAATCCAGTTGTGGGTGCAGTCTACAGTCCCGAATTCTATGCAGGTAAAGAGTTTCTCTTTGCATGATGTCTTCTTGGTCTTTTCTAAATGTGCTTTGCCTGCCAACTAAAGAATGGGTTGCGTAAAACTGTCTGAACCAGTCAATTCCTATCCTAACAAGTTCTGAATGATTTGGGGTGGGGGGGGGACCAAAAGCATTTAAAACTCTTAAAAAAAAATAGAGGGGAGTCATGTGAGTTTCAATGTGGTGTAAGCATGGAGCTCCTTATGACATTTACATTGATTTTGCCTCAAAAAAAAAAGCATTGAGACTTTGTTCAAGAGCATATTGAACCAACGTAGAGCTGTTCATGCCCGTTTTATTTCAATGTGCCTGAGTGTGGGTTTTTTTTTAGCCATACGTTTCCATTTGGAGTTGCATTTTTTTCTCCCCTTGGCAAAGCAGAGTTGGCTTAATTATCCCAATAATGTGGCAGGGAGTTGGAATTGCAAAGAGAAACATTACTTAGAAAACCGGAAACGCTAAGTTGTCCCTTCTCCATGAAGTGATTTCCCTTAGCAATTCCATTTTTCCTCTGCTTCAAGGACCTCTCCCTCTCCTCATCCCTTCGCTACCACCCACCACCTGCCGCTCAAATCCACTGTCCCAGAAAACTTGGTCATCAAATCTGGGAAGAGAGTAACCCAGAAGCAAAGTGGGGCTGAGATGTTTGCTTAGCTTAGCCCGTGACTTCTGCCTGTTAATTTTCCTGCTCGTGAGCCAGGCTGCATTGAACACATGAGAACCTTAGTAGATTTGCCACATGCTTGTTGAAAAGAAGTCTTGCTTTGATATGGCCCTTGCTTTTTAATAAGGAGAAATAAATGACCCACTGGTCTAGATCCCTTCACTTAGTGATCTCTTGATATGGTAAGTCACACCCTTCCTTTGTCTCTTCCAAGATGCCCAACTTCTATCATTTTCTTGAAACTAACCATCAACCCTAGTGGATGTCAAAGGAACATAGGAAACTTAGCTACTTTAATGCAATGATCAACTTGATTTAAAAAAAAAATGGTAAGCCTGGGAAAGCCCAATGTGATACCTGAGTTCTGTATTTTAGGTAGGCAAAATCCGTAATTATTCTTCATATGGGAATCTGACCACAAGCCTAGGTTACGTCCAGGGATTCTACAAGAGGCAAGTCGTTGTGTTGACTCTTATGGGGGAGAAGAGACGTAGCTCTAAGGCTTTCCATGATTATCTGGTGGGATCCACCTCCCGAGAGGACACATAGAGAGGTGAGGAACGTGGACAACACACTCAGACAGCTGAGAACAGAATTCTGGTTCCTCTCTCTACTTGCCAGCTGTGTGACTCTACGCAAGTTACTTAACCTCTCTGTGCCTCAGCGTCTTCATCTGTTGAATGGGAGATGATACTAGTAACAAACTCACAGGTGTTTCTAAGAATGACAAGGGGTTAATAAATGACGAGTGTTTGGTGCATAGCTAGCAACTATATAAATGTTGAGTCAATAAAAATAAATAAGTTAATATTCCATCTGTCTGCCATAGGGGGCAAGTTGACAGAGAGCTGATTCTGCTGGATTCTGAGTGTAGCACTAGACTTAGAGATTCTTTTCTTAATTCATGAGAAGATTAGTCTTTCAGTTCTCAGCATATCCATTCAGGGGACACAGGTATTGCTGGGGTACATTCTTGTCCAAAGCTTCAAAGAAGTGAAGTCCCCCAAAGAGGCAAGGAGAAAGCTGGGCAGCAGCCTCTGTGCGTCTGCAGGCACTGCCCAGTGGAATGGAACCCCCGGGATGAAGCAGAGGCAGGTTCTCGGCATGTGCGCAGGTGCACGCGCCTACATGCGTGTCCCCCCACCCCCCGAATAATGGGATCAGGAGCAAGAAGCAAGCAACCATCCTGTGAAGGGGTAGAGTATAAATGTGTGCGCTGTAATTGTAATAGGGAGGAAAATGCATTTTTCTGGCCCCGTGCAATGTCATTGCTGGTCACCTTTGGCTCAAGCAACTAGGAAAACACCAAATGTCTCCTTTACACGGGGTTGCAAACCTCTGTGCATATCTGTGGGTGCTTAAGAAGACAGTAAGACAAGAAACAATTCAGAATGACATATACATACAACAACAAGTGAATCTGCATAACTTTTAGAACATTAGCACAGCCATTCAAATGAGCCTTGGGCCCTGCCTCAGAAGTTAGATCCTTGGACTCTAGGGAGAGAATAAGTTATAATGAGGATTACTGTTTCCTGAATACATTTATGGCCAGGCATGGTTCTAAGTGCTTTACCTAAATTCATGTGTATTTGAATCCTCACGGTAATTTTCCAAATGAGGAAACTAAGGTACCAAAGAGTTTGCATCACGGGGCTGAGATTTCACAGCTGGTCTGAAGCCACTTGGAATTGAAATTAAAAGCCTTTGCAAGCAGATTACTCTGCTTTATTTTTTATGAAGGTTGAAAGTTATAGTTTTTATTGACTGTGTCCTGTGACAGCAGAGCATGCTACTGCCGGGTCAAAACTAGTCCAATTAACAGAAGTGAGGTCATCATATTGGATTATTTCAACCATCACCACCACCACCGCCACCACTGCCACCACCACATTCACTGGTTGTGTCAGGGGGATTCTTTTAGGAGCCTGGACAACCAAATAATTATTTCTATGAGCTGTTCCAGTAAACTCACAATCTAAAAAAAAAGTGGAGCACAGATAAAGTGTCACTTGAGAAAGCTGAAGTGTTTGGTGTTGCCAATATCTGTCCTTCCTTAATCAGAAGCGTTCTCTTTTTGCCTGTATATTTGTACACGTAGGTAGACAGAGTTCATGATATTCAGAAATGAGGGGAAAGGCTGCACATTCAACTCTCCAGAACAATTCCTTTGACATACTCGGAGACCCATAAACATTGAGAATCCAGCTCGCTTAAATCTGAAGTTTCAGGCACCTGTATCCATGGAAAGTGTATCTGCAACACAAAGATGTATAATGTATTCATGTCCATCTCCAGGTATAATTACTAATGTTATCCATTCAAATACCCATGACTGAGAAGTTAGGGGGCATTTTAAATTTCCCCAACTGTAAAAATCGTCTGGAATTATCTTGCAATTTTGAATGTGCCTCAAAGCTGAAATGAAGGGCTTGTCATCGGTTCGCTGTGGATATGTAACAAGCCAGCCCTGTATCTGCCTGAGATAGAAAGCCAGGCTGATTTTATGAGTCATTGCTATATATAAGATTCTGTGTTAATGACAAATATCATAATATTCCCGTAGTATAATTATTGATTTTCTGAAGCTTATGTGGAATTAACAACCCAGCCTCCAATTGTCTCTCAGAATGGGGCACAAGAAGTTCACATATTTTGTAAATTAAAATCAATATTTTCAATTTCTCCTAAAGGTAATTTTCCTAATTTAGTGGACTTTCCCCTAACATTTATTTTCTCTTTAATTATAAAATGGCAGGTTATTGATTTTTGTATATAACCTCTTGACGCCCTGAGTGCATTTTTATTGCTAACGCAGGGTGGGGGTGGGGAGAGCAGTTACACCTCTTAATGAGGATCTTTAATTACTAGCTGAACAGTATTCATTTGCTTTGATAAATTATGACATGCACTCTCCCTCGCACTCGCGTTCCAGGGGAAGCGTTTAGAAAACTATCAGAAAAGGTCTTTCATTTGGGGTGGTTTTTCTGAACTCTCATCCAGTCGTACCTGGAAGAACTCTTTTAAGTGCTTATCCAGGACCCGTCTCCCAGAAGCAGACAGACCTAAATCAGCATATTCCATGAACATATATAAATCTTTTCCAAAGACAAATGGGTGTTTTCCTATAAAGCTGAGCAGCATTGATTATTTTTCCTAAGCTTAATCATCCTCAGACTCTTTGAGGCTTATTCTCAAGACAAATGATTGATAAGTCAAGGGGAAAAAAACACCCAGGTGAGTTTCATAGACTTTAGCCTGTGTCTACGGGCATTCATTTTAGAGTCTTAACTAAAATTGAAGATATTGTATATAGATGTATGGTATCTGCAAATATCTGTTCAACGGAATATTTCCCAAGTTATTTAGTATAATTAGAAATAGTGTTTTTAAGAAGCCTGATAAGGAGGCTTTGACAAGAATTCTTACAGTTTCCCCATCATTGTGAGAAGTTCCCTTTACCATCTAATAAAAACATTTTTTTTTAGTGATGTCCTTTAGGGATAATCATGATTATCTAGCCAACAAAACTGTTGGCTGAAAGCACCTTAATCTTCATACGTAAGTAAAACAAAATAAAAATAAATAACAGAAGGCTATACACCGTTGTCGACATGGTACTGACAAATGGCAGATTCACCCGTTTCTCAATTGCTGGTTAAGATCGCTGCAAAGCTCACCCACACTGTATATCATATCTGCCAACTCATTTCTGTGATTAAATATTCCATCACTGGGGCTATAAGGCAGCAAAGCTTAACAAGATTCATAAGATGCACCACTTGAACACACATAACTCACTTCTGTGGATGGGGAGCTCCCCGCCTGCAAAGGAAAATTGGAATTGAGTTAAATTACTCCACGAGTCGTGATCAATAGGGAAAGGAAAAGATCTTCCAATGCAATGCAGATCTGAGATAGAGTTAGGTCCTGGTGACAAGAAACACACAGTTAAGGCCAAAAGTAGGGAGATGCTGAGTAAATCAACTCAAAAACCTTGAAGATGACAATGGACGATAGTCTTGGTGGCACTGTTATTAGTAGCAGGATTTGGGGGAGGCAGGGGGGTGATCCTGAGTGGATACTCCTCCTGAAAATAAGAATTTCTGGCTTGGGGGGAGTGTAGCAAAACGACAGGTCTTAAAAGAAGGGCATAACACCTGGCTGCAAAGTCACGTTCGAAAATTGGTCAGGTCTTGAAACTAGGTTATCCTGGGGTTATAGAGAGGATCAGATAAGATAATGAGTGTAAAGGAACTTTATTGACTTTAAAGTAAGATAAAAATATAAGAGATCAGTGTGATCACTGGAGTCA